ATGGCATGAAGCTTGATTACCTGAGGAACTACCTTGTTTCATTACATCAATCTGTCCCACACGGTAACGCATGGCAGGAAGGGTATGTTACAGACCTATTGGTTAAAGACTTTTAACTGGCAGGAGCCTTTTCTGCTGCTGCTTCCATCTGATGGAATATCTTGTCTCCAGAGGTCAGGTTGGTCCCCACATTTTGGTCTTCCGGAAGAGCAGGAAGACCTGGCTCTGCCCATTGGCATGGGAATTGAAGAGTAGCACACAACCCTGGAAATGGTTGGTGACTGAGGGCACTGCCTCCAACTTTTAACTCACTTTTTAAACTGTTTTTACTCTGTCCCTCTATTTTAATTGTTTTATGTCTCTTTCATATGGTTTTTATGGAGAGATTTGTAAATTGCCCAGAGTAACATGGATAATAAAATGGGTGGTGTCTAAATTTGATGGTAAATAATAAATAAAATATCCCTGGAAGATTTCATTAGTACCTTATTATTTGTGCTGAGTTATAATATGATGGAGAGGTTTGTTTTTTTTTGAAGGACAGAGGGTGCTGTTTCTTTTCAGAAATCAAGCATAGAGTAAGACAAAAATAAGTTCATATTATAGTTGATTTATAAAGCTGGTTAATTTTAAATTCAGTATGAGTGTGTGTCTGTGTATCTCCCTTTTTATGACTGTGTAATCCTTTAATTTGGGGTAGAGTCAGGGCGATTGGATAGAGCTACACAAACACACAATGCGACAGTATAAAGAGCACTTTCAGTATTCCATCTGAATTAAAAGAAAAAAATATTTCTGTTTTGAATACAGTAAAACTGTTCTAACCTTAAGACCCAAGCTTTATCAAACAGGCGGTATCTATCATATAGTAGGAACTACTTTTAACTTTTTCAAAAGAAAGCTTGTAAAATGTGACTCATTCTCTTGGTAGGGAAACGCTTCCTTTGCTGGAATTCTTAAACAACATAGATCCTCATGTTTACAAGCTAAAGAGTGAGCATTAGGAAAATGATTCAGACATATTCATACAACCAGTTTAAATTAATAACTCATTACAACCACAACATAAGACAGTCTTTTCTGTCTAGAGGCAAAGTACACATATAGCATTTGTTTGTTTCTCAGCCGCTACTATATATATCCTGGTGATATTCAGAACAATCTGGGGAAGGAGAGAATAGACATGAAACAGACGTTTCCACACCTACTGTACAGTGAGGGGAAAAATTATTTGATCCCTTGATTTTGTACGTTTGCCCACTGACAAAGAAACAATCAGTCTATAATTGTAATGGTAGGTTTCTTTTAACAGTGAGAGACAGAATAACAAAAAAATCCAGAAAACCGCATTTCAAAAAAGTTATAAATTAATTTGCATTTTAATGAGTGAAATAAGTATTTGATCCCCTATCAATCAGCAAGATTTCTGGCTCCCAGGTGTCTTTTATTCAGGTAACATGAGATTAGGATCACTCTCTTAAACAGAGTGCTCCTAATCTCAGCTTCTATCCACAGAAGCAATCAATCAATCAGATTCCAAACTCTCCACCATGGCCAAGATCAAAGAGCTGTCCAAGGATGTCAGGGACAAGATTGTAGACCTACACAAGGCTGAAATGGGCAACAAGACTATCGCCAAGTAGCTTGGCGAGAAAGTGACAACTTGGTGCAATTATTCGCAAATGGAAGAAACACAAAATAATTGTCAATCTCCCTCAGTCTGGGACTCCATGCAAGATCTCACCTCGTGGAGTTTCAATGATCATGAGAACGATGAAGAATCAGCCCAGAACAACACGGGAGGATCTTGTCAATGATCTCAAGGCAGCTGGAATCATAGCCATCACACTACGCCGTGAAGGACTGAAATCCTGCAGCGCCCGCACGGTCCCCCTGCTCAAGAAAGCACATGTACAGGCCCATCTGGTTTGCCAATGAATATATAATAATAATAATAATAATAATAATAATAATAATAATAATAAAGTTGGAAGGGACCTTGGAGGTCATCGAGTCCAACCCCCTGCCCAGGCAGGAACCCTACACCATTTCAGACAAACGGCTGTCCAGTCTCTTCTTAAAAACTTCCAGTGTTGGAGCATTCACCACTTCTGGAGGCAGGTTATTCCACTGGTTA